AATTACGAGAAAGTAGTGGCGCCTGCGGCACCTAGCGGTGGCGCCGCGTACTACTTTTGTCACGTGGCGGGCGCACGGGCCCGGCGCGCAGCCCAGGCGCGCGTGCCGTAATGTAAGCGCACCGCCACATCTCTATCCTTACTTCCTAATCAGGCTACATTCCAGAAAACCACATTCCATTCTTCTCCCTTTCCTCCTCTCTTCTTCCCATCTTCTCTTTTCTACCCATCCTCCTCTTTTTCTACTCTATGCCCCTCTTTCCTCCCCGCTCGCCTTCCGTCTGATCTTCTACTCTCATTCTTCTTTTTTCATTCCTAAGCACCTCCTCCTCGTCCCATTTCCACTACTGCTCCTCTATCTGTATCCTCCCGTATCTTATCCACACTTTTTTCCCTTTTTTCCCTCCTTCCTCGCAATTTCCTTCAAATTCCATCTTGTTTTCCTTTCCCTCCACGTCCAGTCCTCCATAACCCTTTTTTCCTTCCCTTCAATTTCTTTTAACCCTTCATGATTTCCCTTCTTTGTTTTTCTTTCCCCAACTTTACCAGCACTGTCCCTTATCCTTTTTCCCTTTCTTCCCTTATTTTTTTGACCTTCCTTATCTCCACTTCTACCTCCCATTATCTTCAATAACTCCTCCACTGCCTCCCTTCTTTTCTCCTCCTTCACCTCTAAATCTTTTATTAATATATTTTTTCTTCTTTTTTCTCGTTCTTTCATCTCTAATTTCCTTTCCATCCCTCTCAATCTCTCCTCTGTTTCCCTTCCTCTTTCCTTTTCGTCTGCCTTATTTCCTATATTCCCTCCTTTTTTCTCTCTAACTCCTCCACACTTTTCTCCAAACCCACAATACATTTCCTCATCTCCTCTCTTTTTTCTGTCCATCACCTCTCCTGTTCTCTGAATTCCTTTTTATTTCTTCCAGATCTCCCCTCAATTCCCTTCCCTGCTCTCTAATACCCTCCTTCACCTCTTCTCTCATCCGTCTAAATTCCTCTCTCCAATCCGTAATTTCCTTCATCGTTCTCGTTACCTCCTCCATCTCTTCTTTCCATCCCTTCTTTATCTCTTCCCCTCCTCCCTGCTCCCTCTCATCCCTCTTCTGTTCACACCCTTCCTCCCCTTTCTCTCCCCTCTCCCCTCCATCCCCATTTCTTCACACTTCCCCTCCTCCTATCCCTTCCCCCTCTTCGGTGATCTCAATGTCTTCTTACTCCTCTTAAGAGGATGCTGAAAGGTCGGCCAAATTTGTACGAAGTCGATAAAGCAGACTCTTCAGTGTCAGTGGTATCTCTAAATGAACTTCTTACAATATCTTTTGGTCTCATTCAAATGCGTGGAATGTCCTTATCTAATTTATTGAAGTGCCATCTCTTGTAAAATTTGGCACTTACTGCCAGACGCAATTTTTGCTGTCTTTTCCTTAGCTAAGCGA